GTGGCAACGCGTAGTAATGCAACGCGTAGTAGTCCAACGCGTAGTAATGCAACGCGTAGTAGTCCAACGCGTAGTAATGCAACGCGTGGTAATTCTAAGCGTAGGAATCTAACGCGTGGTAATCTAACGCGTAGTTAACCAACGGGTAGTAATCCAATGCGTAATAATCCTTCCGCACAAAGCTTCAAACCCTATTTTAGCAAAGGAAAATCTTATTCAGAATCACGTCAGCTACCATTCCAGGGACCTACACTAGTTATGAAACACCCCGTATGGTTATAATTTTATATAATACATATAGTTAAGTTATGAATATTCATATCAAGGTTCAATAAAATATAAATAATTTAACAAAAAATATATTAATACTTCAACAATATTGTAAAGTTACTGATTTTTAGTGTTTTTAAGCGATTCTTGTAAAGTGCTTTACTGCACACTTTACATTTTCGAAATTTTTAAGTAATGATCAAGTTATTTGTTGTAACAAATAACTGTTTCAAACGCATAAAATATTTACAAATTAAGAGTATGATTTAGAGAATTATTGCTTTTTACACTGCGGAAAAATTTTCAATAATTTTCAATATTCAAGTGAGTCGTGCATCCAAAAAAAAAATCTTCTCAAATTACCTCCCCAAAATGATTTCCCCAATTAGTTTAAATTTCCGCCAAATATGGAGCAACGAAACCAAAGATCATAGAGCGTGTCTGCGAGCCTGCTTAAGCCTAATCCTCATGGGTGGCCCTCCTCCTGTACACGATAAGCTTAACGACTCGATATAACAACTTCCAATGTGGATTATAAAAATATTAAATCTTCTGTAATACGAACTAGTTAACCTAGATGATATGTAAATTCACGGACCAATGTGATCCATGCGACGCGTTTCCACCAGACGAAACGTTTCCGTTCCAGAGAAACCAGTTCATCCCCTGTTTACCAGGAACAGTCGTTTTCGCTGGTCTCGCGTCTCTATTTTATATTTTGGCCGGCGTTACTGTTACTTGTCTGTACATGTGTGTTTATGCGAGTTCCCTTTTGTTACATACAGTCGTTCATATTGATATTCGGACACTGCGCCATTTTTTATCCCGCTATTTCGTATAAAATGGAGTTATACGTTTAAATATGTAACGCTGTTTGTGTTGCGAAATACCGGCCATTAATTGTATTATACTCTGTAAACACATACGTTACTTTGTACACGCGTAAGTTCTTTTAAAACATATGACCTGTTTGTGTAATGGTTTTATCGGTTTTAAAATAATGCATTGTGGAAAATATTACTAGTAATAAAATAGCAAAATATTTCTTTTTCTTTCATAGAGGATAGTGTACCTTTTGTAGCATATATAATAACTCTTCTTTTATACGAAATAGTAAATGAAGAACTGTGCAACGTCTGAATATCAAAGTGACTAACCATACGTACAGTGTGTAATGTATATACCTATGTCTGTATGTGAATACATGCACACACATGTGTCTATATGTGCATGTAAATACGTATGTCCATAGGTGCATGTATGTATGTCTATGTGTTCGCGTGTGTTCACATTTGTACGTCAGTATTCACACATGAACATACATGTCCACAAACATATATGAATATATTTGAACATACATGTCCACATGTGAACGTATGAGTCTGTATGTGCTCTGTATATATGTGTGCCCACATGTGAATATACCTGTCCACATCTGAGCACACGTATCCATAAATGAACATGTGTGTCCATATTTGAACATGTACATCCACATGTGAACGTCCATATGTGTATGTGTCGTGCGTGCACGTATGTGTATCGTGCATGTACGTGGCAGTACCTGTAGATACTTGTCTGTATGCGTCTGTAAATGTAGATATGTGTGTGTATGTGTCTGCAAGTGTACGTATGTGTATGTATGCGTGTACGTGTGTGTACCATGGAACAAGACGTGCGGTCTTGCGCGCAGCCACGCGGAGGAATGAGTAACAGCATCGATGGATCATTCTGCTCTCTTAGCGGAGATCGATCGATCTAAATAACCCGGGGCCCGTTCAATGTGCTCGAATTCGTTCACCACGAGAATCGACGGACAGACGTCCAGCTCTCTGACTAACGACCAGCTCGGAATCAACTGTGCGGGAACGGAATCCCCTGAGACACGCGTGGCCGTGACTGATATCGAGGATCGTCTCTTTGAAATTCCTTCGCCAATTCGATCTACTTTGTTCCTCATCTATGAGACCTTCTCCAATTTGCTTCGGATAGTTACTTTAATTGGTCTTTCAAACGTTTTACTGTTACTGTAAACCGTTAACAATTTGAACACGTCTGTCGATGTGAAAATACGTGGCATGTGTGCGACATGCGAATTATTAACGCACTGATGTATCATAGGGGATTGAATTAAATGTGTTTTGCGGTTTATTAGGTTAGGAATATGGGAATCTGACGATTTGACGTTGGGACATTTGGGAATTTTGGAATACAGTTTGGAATTTTTAGAATGCACAGAATTATAAATTTGGAAAAGTAACTTCATAGATTAAAGGAACATTTCGTTATGATTTTAATAAATTCACGAAGAATATCGAAGGAACACAAAAAGACAACCCTAACTTCATAACTTGTCAATTTCAAACAACCATAATGTTATCTAGTTAAAAAAAGATACTATTATGCGTCAGTTACAAATATTCCCAAGTGAACGTATTTACTCGATACTCCAATAGAATATTTCTATTGTACGGGTTGTTAAAAACGAGTTAATTTCCCTGAGATTATCTCTATTTAACCTATAATAATTACTCCATTTCAAGGATTCGTTAAATAATTCGTGGATTCCCATTTCGAAACAGTATCTCCGGCAACTTTCTCTTCCGTTCAGTCTTTTGCTAATTCAAACTCTCGAAATCAATTCGACCGCCAGAAACTGAAACAATTGAAATCGCTTTCGTTCGGAATCTAATTCGCTCGAAATACTTTGTCCAAAGTTTTATTACTTAATCGAGGTCTTTTAGGTGGAACACTTTCGGGTCCAATTATCCCATCAAATTTTGGATTCCATCGTCGTCGAGGGGATCATTACGAATCTCGAATCAATCCGTGAACGTTTCGGGGGATGAACTCTCTGTTAGAGGGACAATTAGCACGCGAGTACGATCGAGCGAAGCGTGAACGCAAGAGGAGACTCAGAATTTCCAATAATAATGACGAGTTCTGGCCAGAACGTATATCCATTAAATTGCATGCACTCGATTTAATGGTTTGACTCGTTGCCACGAGCCTCTTCACTTTAATTGGTCTTTCAAACGTTTTACTGTTACTGTAAACCGTTAACAATTTGAACACGTCTGTCGATGTGAAAATACGTGGCATGTGTGCGACATGCGAATTATTAACGCACTGATGTATCATAGGGGATTGAATTAAATGTGTTTTGCGGTTTATTAGGTTAGGAATATGGGAATCTGACGATTTGACGTTGGGACATTTGGGAATTTTGGAATACAGTTTGGAATTTTTAGAATGCACAGAATTATAAATTTGGAAAAGTAACTTCATAGATTAAAGGAACATTTCGTTATGATTTTAATAAATTCACGAAGAATATCGAAGGAACACAAAAAGACAACCCTAACTTCATAACTTGTCAATTTCAAACAACCATAATGTTATCTAGTTAAAAAAAGATACTATTATGCGTCAGTTACAAATATTCCCAAGTGAACGTATTTACTCGATACTCCAATAGAATATTTCTATTGTACGGGTTGTTAAAAACGAGTTAATTTCCCTGAGATTATCTCTATTTAACCTATAATAATTACTCCATTTCAAGGATTCGTTAAATAATTCGTGGATTCCCATTTCGAAACAGTATCTCCGGCAACTTTCTCTTCCGTTCAGTCTTTTGCTAATTCAAACTCTCGAAATCAATTCGACCGCCAGAAACTGAAACAATTGAAATCGCTTTCGTTCGGAATCTAATTCGCTCGAAATACTTTGTCCAAAGTTTTATTACTTAATCGAGGTCTTTTAGGTGGAACACTTTCGGGTCCAATTATCCCATCAAATTTTGGATTCCATCGTCGTCGAGGGGATCATTACGAATCTCGAATCAATCCGTGAACGTTTCGGGGGATGAACTCTCTGTTAGAGGGACAATTAGCACGCGAGTACGATCGAGCGAAGCGTGAACGCAAGAGGAGACTCAGAATTTCCAATAATAATGACGAGTTCTGGCCAGAACGTATATCCATTAAATTGCATGCACTCGATTTAATGGTTTGACTCGTTGCCACGAGCCTCTTCAGGGTGCACTTCAGCTCGCGTGCTCGAGCGCCCTTCCTGAAGAGGCTCGCAGGATTCTTGCACTCTCAAGGAAGCGTGTCGCGCCTTCTTCTTCTTATCAAAGGTGCCAGACTTCTTCGCGTGTCTTATGGTAGTTCAAACTTCCTTCCTTTCGCCAGAGAACGCGTGTAATTTTCAAGTTCGAAGAAACTGTTTCGAAAGTCATACGTATGTAAACTTTATTCGGTTTTTTTATTTGTTTCGTGGGAATTTCTGCCGTTAACGAGGTACACTTAAGTTTCTTTCTGCAGGAGACCAACACTTATTTTACATTTCTACCAAATATTTTACCAAGCTTTCATATTTCCAATTTGTATAATTTCAATATTTTTAGAGTTCCCAGATCATTTTTCCATATTATAAAGTTCTTAAATTTAAACAAAAATGGTAGATTCAATAATATAAGGTTCTAAATTCCAAAATTTTGAACCTTGCAAGTTTAATACATTTTCAAATTTACCGCCTAAAAGTGCTGATCTGCATTGCTAAAAAATCCTATCACGTGTACAGTTAACATCGGCAGGAGAAACTTAAACCTTAACTTTAGCAAGGAATTCTGCATCTATTTATCAGTAAAAAAATGATATTCGAGCACATTGAAGTTCCCCAAATCTCGCGTTACCATCTTGCTGTTACTCCGTTTAAATTTTACAGCTAATCAGTAAAATATAAAAGGTACTCATCCTCTGATCAGCCTCGATTCTCTCCACGACGAGGAGTTGCCTATTGCAGATGAGTTCCCGAAGAATCTTCGACGCATCCTCGAAGTCTCTTCAATTAAATCCTGATTTTCTTCGACGGAATCCTCTTCTCTCGTTTGAATCATCTTTCGTCGCGAGACTCGATTCGCCAAACGACCGGTGTTTCCGTTAATTCGTAGACGATTTTCAAGGTCCTCGATAATAATTCTTTTCGCGTTAATTTCGTTGAGAACTCTCGGTCCAGCCGAGTTTCGACGTGGAAATTTCGGGGCGAAACACCGTCACGAAGAGAAGAGGTAAGTTGCTTCTTCGGGGAACTCAGCGATCCATCATGGCTGCACGCAACGCTTCCATCATGGACACGATCAGGTCGATCGAACCGCTTCCTCTCGACGGTTATTCCTCAGGCCAGCCCAGATCCTCTCCCACCAGCTCGTAGAATCGTTGGTTATGTTCGTTGAAGAACCTCCTCAGCTTCGTGACGACCACCGGACTGACCCGTGGATGCCGTCTGCCTTTGCTCTCCTTCAGACACTTCTCCGACGTCTCGTTTCGCAGGCAGTAGAAACCCTTGGTGTGATTGAAGTAGAAATTGTGCCTGCCGATCCGAGGCTCTAGTCCCAGGAAGCTCTCGATCCTGCGCAACTGGGGTACAGGGTCCTCGATCAGTTGGTCACCGTTCACTATCAGGATCTGCTCCCTTGAGAACACCTCCAGCCACCTGTGCATGTACGTGTGGTACAACGAGATGGCGACCGGCCTGTAGGACTCGTTGATGGTGCCGTCGGGTCGCATCACCAGCTCCTCGAAACTACGAGCTGATTGTTGCTGCTGTTGCTGCTGCACGCTGCGAGGCGTACCGTTCGTTATGGTGGACGCGGTCGCCGCGTGCGTACGGAGCTGCGTGTAATCCGAAATGGCGCGGGTCACTGGCTCCCGGACGATCAGCAACAGCTTCACGCTCGCGTTCATCGCGCGGATCCTCTCGGGTACCTGTAAACCAATGGTTTGCGGTGAATTATGTGTATAGGAAGTTTATTGTTAATCATGGATCGAGCTGTTTGGTTTCATTCGGATAGTACATCTGGTGCACGATTTTGGAATTATCTGCTTTCGAGTTAACGGAAGTTTGGCATTTGGGAATTTTGGGAAATGGGAATTTGGGAAGTTGGAATTTAGGAAGTTGGAGACTTTGGAGATTTTGAAGGAACTGGAAGATCTGACAATTTGGGGATTCGGTTCCAAGATTTAGAACTTAGGAACTTTGGGATCTTGAGGATTTGAGAATTTAATAATTTGTACATACAAGAATTTGAAAATGTAAAGTGTGAGATTTGTGGATCTGTAGACTAGTCATAAATATTGAGTTTGGAAAAATCTTTTAAGAATCCCTGCAAGAGCAAACATAAATAATAAGAAGCACCGTGAAGTTGAGGATTTGACAGTTATTACCAAACTTCAACATTTATGGGCGTAGAGACCCCAAACTTTAGGGAATATCAGTAACGATCTTAAAAGGTGGACGTATAATCTCTTTTTTAGCTTCTGAAAGTAATCTACTTAATCGTTCGACCTAGAATTCTAGCAAAACCCACGCGAACGTTACTAGAACCACAAGAAGATTAAATCACCAGTACAAGTACTTGGTCTCATAAGACTTACACAATTTTCTATGCAAGAACATAATCAACACTATACTGTAAGCTACTTAGCGATGTCAAAGTGGGCTAATGACAATGTAGTAAGTAGTTCGACATGAATATTAAGATCTAGACTTTACTTTTTCACCAAAGATGTGGAATCTATAATCTAGAGCTTGCAGTCCACCTAATTGACCACAACCATTTATTAACTCGATTACATTCTCCACTAAACTCGTTTAAATAATGCCACTAACGCTCGCTATCCCAAAACGAAATTACTTGGAGCTATAAATACTAGACCCTTAGACCCAGGTCATCCATCACGACTGACACTATGCGGTCAGTGACATGGTTGCAAGGATTCTTTACTCTGATTTGTTGCGTACTTATTCAGAACTCACACGTCCATTACATGTCCGTTCAAGTTAAATAAAAAGTTGAAAGTTAAATACCCAAGCTATATATATGCAGATACGTAATTGTTCAATTAAAGCTACCCACAGCTATACCAATGTCCACGAAGATTAATTAACATTTCAATATAACCAAAAATCAAACGCGCGTAAAGTATCTGAAATGTGTCGCTTTAATTGTTTGCGGTCGAAGTCCATATTTCCGGTTAAACGTGTTTTAACATATCACCGCAGAGAGTTAAATCCATACGTTACATTAATTGATATCGGCAATCAACGTACGACAATGTGACGAGAATTATAACTCGTTTATACAACAGACCCCCTAAGTTATGTCAGTTGTGAGAAAGTTGATACATAGTTGATACAAAGTTGTACATATGACGAAATTATATACCTCCGGTGTGACGAAGTAACTGGGGCTCTTTTCGATGGTGATCTGACCCCTGAAGGAATATGGCATTTTCCTTCGGTACCATTCGAGTCCCTTGCCATAATTGTCGTCTCGGTCAAAAAAATGAACCTCGCCGGCGGCTTTCTGTATCTGCGGGTGAAGGAAGAGCATCTCGAGGAGCGCCCTGGTGCCACATTTCCGCACACCTATGATGATTGCCTGAGGTAGATGACGACTAGTACGTGGGAAGTGGACTTTGCTGGAGAAGAGCAAAGGCGGGGTGGCTCGAACTTGCGACACCAGCTCCACGGTTCGTCCTTCGACGGCCGAGGCCGCGTGCAAGCTGTACACGGCGCTGTCGTACAGGATGTGGAAGGTGAGAAACAGGGAGAGGAGGACCACCGTGAGGAAGGCTGCGGCCATCTTCGGTCTGGATATACCAACCACCAGGATACAGTCCGAAGTGTCGCCCTCGGCCGGCCTCATGGCAGAGCGGGGCATCCACCTGAAAACATATTTCAATTCTTTTTTACTGATAGTATTATCGATATCATATATAAGATATTGGAGTGGTAGGCTGGGAAAATTTGGACACTTTAATAGGTGAGGCTTGTGGCACTTGTTATTCTTGTAACTCTATGTGGTTTGAGTGAAATTGTCAAGTTAGACGAAATACCTTATACACCTTGTATATTATATGTTATATTATATAGTATATTACTTATTTATTTGCCAGGTGGGTCAGTCAAAACTAACTAGACGAAATACCTCATACACCTTGTATATTATATGTTATATTATATAGTATATTACTTATTTATTTGCCAGGTGCGTCAGTCAAAACTTACTATTCATAACTATAATATTTAAACAAACAATAAAAATTAAAATGTGAATACTTTATATTCAGCGGTCCTTGCTAATGCAAATTATAGTTGCACTTAAATTTGAAGAGTATTAAAAATTCAAGTAAGATTTGTCAAATTACGACAAAGGGTTAAGATATGTAACAAAGACTACATGTTAGGTTTTTAAAATAGCATTCCTCTATTTATGAAGTTATGAAAAACGATCATAGTTTTCTTTAAGCTCCACCATCAGATCCTCCGATCTTCAGATCCCTATATTCCAACATCCTACTTATCTCACTATTAAATACATGTACCCATAAATTCCTATATCACCATACGTAAATAATGTTCTACATTCTTGCAGCGCACCGAGGTGACAAATGACTGCTAGCTCGGTATAAATAATGAGATATATCGTATTGCGTGTTCGGACGTATTTATTCTCCCGGTTTAATCTTGCAGCGAAGTGTACCAGCGAACGGTAACTGTATAGGGATATATGATAGATTAGAATGAGTCTCCTTAAATTCGGCGGGTCTGTTAATGTTCGACACGCAACACGTCTGCATTAGCAGCAGTCGTAATTTATTCCGTCCACGTGGCCTCAGCGATTAAGACCGACGTACTTACCGATTCTTACATGCATACCGATAACAATAAGCGACACGGTTGTTCGCATGCGTTTACCGTGGCTGCGTGATATGACTTCATCATGGCTTCCTTGGTCGCGCCATGGGTGTGCACCGGGAGAATTGTATAAAGGGACGGTAATTACGGATTTTATTTGACTGGTTAAATATGGGCAATTAAATAAACGTATGTTATGGAGAATTGTGTTACATCGAATTAGTCCGTAGAGAAATGCGTGGAGGGTTTTGAAAATGAATCGATGAGTAAGGGAAAAAGGGTGGTTGCTGGCAGTTGAGGGATAATTATGGGACATTTGGAAATTTGGAGATTTAGGGGTTTGGAGACTTGGGGATTCTGGGAGTGGTTAAGGGATTTGGGAAGTTGGGGATTTGGGAATTTAGGGAGGAGGAAATTTGGGGATCTGAGGATTTAGGGAATGAGATTTGGGAATTTGGGGATTTGGGAATTTGGGGATTTGGGAATTTGAGGATTTGAGGATTTGGGGATTTGGGGATCTGAAAATTTGGGGAGTAGGAAATTTGGGGATGTAAGAAATTAGGGACTTGGTAATTGGGAATTTGAGAATTTAGGGTCTGAGAGATTTGAGGATTTCAGAATTTAGGGACTGAGAGATTTGAGGATTTCAGAATTTAAGGATTGGTAAATTTGGTGAATTCAGAAATTGGGGATTTGGGAATTTGGGGATCTGAAAATTTGGGGAGTAGGAAATTTGGGGATGTAAAAAATTAGGGACTTGGTAATTGGGAATTTGAGAATTTAGGGTCTGAGAGATTTGAGGATTTCAAAATTTAAGGATTGGAAAATTTGATGATGTCAGAAATTAGGGATTTAACCTAAAAACAAAGTTAAGATAATCAATAGTATGGAACAGAAGATTCGACGAATAAAATCGTTTTCCTGGTGTGTCTTCAATTATTAGCACATATTACCGCACTACATGTTCCGAGGATTTCTTCTGATAATCTCCACAGTTTCATACAACTTCCGTATTCATTTTTAATGATACCTACCACATTATGCTAAAATCCTGATGCAGTATTAAACGAAACGTGAATGGCTTAGCTAGCCAGCTTTTAATTGTAACGCGTTTATTAACATATTCTGCTGATTATGTAAAGTTAGCATGCCTTTGAAAATGGTAAAGGGAAAATCTGCAGGCTTAAGACAGATTAAATCGCTTTATGATCACGATCGTGTGTAATCAGAATTTTCCTTAATCGAGAATTCAATAGTGAATGACCACGCTGACATTGTCTTTCATATTGGTAATACTAGTGGCACTGGTAATATCTGCCTTCTTTTTTAAATTTTCAAATTCCATAATTACCAAAAGTAGTATAAAAATTCTAAAAAAAAAAATAGTTCAAAAAGTTCCTAAATTCACAAATTTCCAAATTTCTTACTTCCCAAATTCTCAGATGCCTAAATTACCAACTCCCTAATTTCTCAAATCCCCAAATTGTCTACTCCCCAAATTCTCAGATCCCAAAACTCCTTCCACCCCAAATTCTCAAACCTCCAAATCACCAACTCCTCAAATCCCCAAAACTCCAAACTCCTAATCATCCAAATCTCCACATCCCAACTTCCAAAATTCCAAAATACCTTTTCTAATAACTAAATATCACTACAAAATATCAACAAGCAGTACCTTTCCTCAAAATAGTACTTACAATCACGTCACCAATATCCTACAAAAATTTGCAACTGAAGAATCCACATCCAGTTCAAAAACTCTTATAAAGACATCCAACGCAGCCAGGTGAAAGATTGCGCGTCGATGGCAATTAATCGAGTAATGAACCACACGCGTAAAAAATTCATCGGATGACGAACGCACTAGTTCGAATTAACGGGCCGGGCATAAATCGCATCTGGTACACGGTGAAGTTTTATCGATACTAGTTGGAAACGATAAATCAAGCAAAAGAAGCCCGCATGCAGCTCGGTGAACGGAAGGGATCTTCCGAGAGGAACAATGTGCACACCAGATAAGAATAATCGTGTCGGAAACACTGACATAAGCTGGCGCGATATAAGTGTCTGTTCAGTTAAGTAAGATTAATTAAGCATATACGTATCTATGTAATTACGGCGTATGGCGGTATAAAAAGGAGTATCATTCATTTCGTTTAAGCACCTCTTCCGTGTTTGTGGATCGCGAAAATCGCGTGACGTTTGGTGCAGGGAATTAATATATCTTTATCGGTACGAACATGTTTGTACGTATTGATAAACGTATGACATCGACGAGCATAGATATATACATTGTATGCATATACATTAAGTGTAAAAGGAACATATGTTCAACGTGTAATAATTAAATGATATGTGTAATTTATGTTGGAATGAGAAGTTCAGATATGTCAGAGGTTTAGATGATTCAAAGCTTGGAAACATAAATATGTGCAAATTTAAAGTATTTGAAATGAACCTGAAAATCTGAAAACTTAGAAAATTGTTTAACATAAAAATGTGCAAATTAAATTATTCAGAAATGCACCTAATAATCGGAGAAATTAGAAAACCGTATAGTATAAAAACATGCAAATTTAATAATACAGAAATGCACCTAAAAGTTTCAGAAATTTGAAAACTGTATAACATAAAAATGTGTAAACTAAATAATTCAGAAATACATCTAAAAGTCTCATAAATTAGAAAACTGTATAATATAAAAACATGCAAATTTAATAATACAGAAATGCACCTAAAAGACCCAGAAATTATAAAACTGTACAACATAAAGATATGTAAATTTTATAATTCAGAAGTGCACCTAACAATCTGAGAAATTAGAAAACCGTATAATATAAAAATATGCAAATTTAATAATTCAGAAATGCATCTAAAAATTTGAGAACTTAGAAAATTATACAACGTAAAAATGTGCAAAGTTAAAAATTTAGAAATACATATAAAAGTCTATGAATTTAGAAAATTTTGAAAATGGGAAATTTGGAATTGGGAAATGTGGAAATTGAGAAACGTGGAATTTGGGAAATGTGGAATTGGGAAATGTGGAAATTGCAAAATGTGGAATTGGGAAACGTGGAAATTTGATAATTTGGAAGTTCAAAAATTTAGAATTGGAAAATTTGGAATTGGGAAATTTGGAATTGGAAAATGTGGAAATTGGGCAATGTGGAAATTGGGAAATGTGGAAATTGCAAAATGTGGAATTGGGAAACGTGGAAATTTGATAATTTGGAAGTTCAAAAATTTAGAATTGGAAAATTTGGAATTGGGAAATTTGGAATTGGAAAATGTGGAAATTGGGCAACGTGGAATTTGGGAAATGTGGAAATTACAAAATGTGGATTTGGGAAACGTGGAAATTTGAAAATTTGGAAGTTCGAAAATTTAGAATTGAAAAATTTGGAATTGGGAAATTTGGAATTGGAAAATGTGGAAATTGGGCAATGTGGAAATTGGGAAATGTGGAAATTGCAAAATGTGGAATTGGGAAACGTGGAAATTTAAAAATTTGGAAGTTCGAAAATTTAGAATTGAAAAATTTGGAATTGGGAAATTTAGAATTGGAAACTTGGGAAATTTGAAAATTTAGAATTGAGAAATCTGAGAACCAAAAAAATTCCATATCTAAAAAATTGAAAAGCGTAGAAAGTATAACTTGAAAATCTAAAACTTTGAAATAGCAAAAATTTGCAACAGTGAAAAAGAATTTGAAACTAACAGAAAAGAAGAAATGAAGGAAAAATGTAGTTCGAAGAGGAAGATAGTGTTCGAAAACTTAATCCAGGAACAGATGTAACGTAGTACAGGACATGTTTTTCGCTGGATCGTGCAAGCGGCTCCTTGTTCATCGTGTGTTTCATAGGAAATCGATGACGTGCAACACCCGAAGCGTTCAGAACGATTCTCATTCGCTTCGAACTGCCACTCGATTTCAAACGTTCGTTAGTTATTCTAAGCTTAAGTGCTTTCAGCTAAAAGTTTCATCGCTTTTAAATTCGGATTTATTCACGGCCGCTTTACGAAG